AGAATTAATCGCCCGATTATACGCCTCCACATTACCTAGATTCAATGCTGTAATAACGTTTCTGGATGTCATATACGTAAACCAGGTGCTTGCAGTCTCGATTAGATACGCTGTGGTTAGGATATCCTTCCTACCACTCTGTACGCTATATGTTTCAAAGTAGCTGCCACCGTGTGGTTAACGTATTTTGTCGAATTCAGAACCTTCATCTTATCGAAGCTCGATGCTCTTTTCGTGAAATTGACATCTTCCAACTTCAGGCCAGATGCCATTTTCAAATCACACCCTTGTTCATACAAAACAAGGTCTCGAAGATGTTTAATGTCTGCTGTGGGTGTCACGAGCTCTTGTGCTTCCACTGCCCAATTAGGTAGCTCAATGGTTTCATTAGAAATCCAACCTTGAACCATGCTCTTGCAAACGTGAACGGGGTCAGGAATTACTTCAAACTTCCGCTGGGAACACGCCGGATGCTTTATAGGACCGTTCTTAAGAACTGTTGCTTGAGTATGCTGAACACCAAGGTCGTTCCACAATCTTTTATTGTTGCCTGAAATCAGCAGATAATTAGCGCTATAATATTTAATCCACAATGACATAATTTTACTTACTGCCACAGTCACTAATGAGGGCATGCACACGAAGGCCGATATTTTCAGCTTTTTGAATTAGATCAACTACGATTGACTTTAGGCAGCCATGGTCGACTGTGTCACCAGTGAAATGGTATGCGATCACCTGTTTCCAGCGAGCTCTAATGCCTACCAGCATGAATACCATGACATGAGTAGCTATTCCGCAGTGATTAGGAAGAGTAATATTTCCCACAAACTGCTTCAAATTTGAACAATAGTTCACTCCTTTTTGGATTGCCATTTCATCGAATACAATTGCGCAATCCATATCCAGATTATTCATGTCTTTAACCTTGTACTCCATAAATTCGAATACTTCATGAAGGCATCCTGCTCCAAATTTTAGCCCTTGTAATCTCTCACTCAATGTACGGCTACTCGGCAAACGGCGTTTCTTCCTTTCTTCTTCGTATGCAGTTCTTCCGCATGAGAATCTCGTACGAAGGCCTTCGAGTATACTTTCATTTGACTATTTACCAATCCTCTGTACTTTAGCGGTCATTAAAGCGAACTGATCTTGCCCGACGATCTTCTGAACGGTGTCTACATCAATGGAACCATCTCTTGAATTTTTCAGCTCATGTATTTTTCTTTTTAGTTTCTCGTTCTGAGACAAACATCGGCGCATTTTACTGAAATGAAACATAAATAAGTAAAAAAAATACGCACATCTAAGACAAACCTACCTTCGACACTTTTCACAGTTGGAGCAGCGAGATGTTCCTTCATCCACATAATCTTGACATGCCTTATCCAAGAGCATCCGTTGATGATTATCAGCCATTGACACAAGGCTGGTCTGATGTACGCTAGAATCCACGGTCAGCTCTTCTGAAGGTTCATAAAGGAGTTCTATATCCAGATTTTCTAGACGCTCCTTGCTCGATCGCATCTTGTCCGCTTCATCCGATACATCTTCAATGATTCCTGTTTGAGAATAATGTGTAAGAAAACATTTCTTGTAGCAATCAACAATCAAATGATTCATACCATAAAAATTTCCAGCATCATTTTCACCCTCGTATTCGTCCGATTTTTTGGGTTTTTTCTCTGTGGACAGCAACATCGTCACGGATTCATCACCGCCATCGCTGAAATCGTTCTTTTTACGTTTTCGCTGACTCAGTTGGGCTAGCGTCTTGTAAACAGGAACAGCACTTTTGATTTTTCGCACCTTACCGCTGGAATCCATGTACAGCTCACATTCGGCAAAGTGCAACTAAAATTGTATAATTTAATGAGATAATAACTCTTTTCACTATTTTGTCTAAATACTAACACTGCACAAACGATGGCTTCCCAAAAATTTTAAATCCTCCGGAAGCTCACAAAACGATAGCCACTTTTTGCGCTCTGATTCGCTGCGAGGAAAACGAAAAAACGCCACGAAACGCATTCCACTTCGGGAGTTATTTCCACAATATTTATAAAAACAGTTCATTTCCACTTATTTACAACACGTTGGATGATTTTTCCGATTAAAAAAAAAAACGCTTGCATGATGACGTTGAAGCGCACATTTTTTTCTACGATATCAAAACAAACATTATCAAGCGTTCATGTGAAGTTTGCATGATTTGCAGTGAGGCCAGTTTTTAAGTAGCTTTTGTTGTTATTTTCGCTGATTGCTAGTTCTACCTGTACTGTTTTTACATCCGCAAGTCTTTGTATAAAGTGTTTTTAGTGAGAACAACCTAGGTGAGCGGCGCACCCAGAGGAAAGAGTGGATCACTGATGAAACCTGACGAAAGATTGAGGAGTGTATAGAAGCAAAAGCCGCGATAGAGTGGGTGAGAACCAGAGGAGCCAAGAACGAAGCCCGTCAACGGTACTCGGCTCTAGAAAAGGACAGACGGGGCAAGCGAGCGTGGGTGAACTCCCTGGCTGACGAAGGGGAGAAAGCCGCAAACACTGGCGATATACGCCTCCTCTACGATATCTCACGACGCCTGAGTGGAGTAAGGATGAACCCAAGGATGCCAGTGAAAGACACGACTGGACAGTTGTTTACCGACCCCACTGACCTGCTGAAACGCTGGTTTGAGCACTATTCTGTGATATCTGGGACACTTCGACTAATTCCAATCGACTGAATGCAGTCTTAGTAAAGGTCCCAAAAAAGGGGGATCTGACTGTGAGCGACAATTGGCAAGGCATCATGTTACTGTGTATTGTTCTCAAAGTTCTGAGCAAAGTTATCCTGAATAGGATAGAGGAGAAGATCGAAGCAACTCTCCGGCGGCAGCAGGCAGGATTTCGTGCCGGAAGATCTTGTGAGGACCATATTGTCACGCTCCGCATCATCCTGGAGCAGGTCAATGAATACCAAGAGTCCCTTTATTTGATATTGATTGACTACGAAAAAGCTTTCGACCGACTCAATCACGAGAATCTGTGGGGCGCCCTGAGACGCAAGGGAGTCCCGGATAAAATCGTCAACCTCATCGAAGCGTAGTATCAGGCTTTTACGTGCAGAGATCTGCATAACGGAGCTTTGTCTGACCCTATCTGGGTTGTCGCTGGTGTGAGACAAGGATGCATATTATCACCGCTACTGTTCCTCATCGTAATCCACGAGATCATGGTGGGTGCAATTGACCGTGTACCGAACCGTGGGCTGCTTTGGCAGCCTATCACCATGGAGCATCTCAACGACTTCGATTTGGCTGATGATGTTGCTCTACTAGCACAACGGCGCTCTGATATGCAGAGTAAGCTCAATGACCTAGCCGAACGCTCCTCTGCGGCGGGTCTCACCATCAACGTCAACAAGACCAAATCGTTGGATGTCAACACGGGCAACCCTCCCAACTTTACGGTAGCGGGGCAAGTAGTGGAGAAGGTCGAAAGGTTCCAATATCTTGGCAGCCAAATAGCGTCGGACGGCGGGACCAAGAGCGACATAGACTGCCTTTGCGAGTTTACGAAACGTATGGAGATCAAACCAGATAAGTCAACGTACCAAAATCCGAATTTTCAACTCGAACATGACATCTGTGTTATTATACGCCAGCGAGACGTGGTGTGTATCAACGGAGAACACTCAGAAGCTGCAAGTCTTCATCAACCGATGCCTGCGGTATATAATTCGTGCTTGGTGGCCTCACAACTGGATCTCGAATGCCAAGCTCCATCGTCGATGTCATCAGATGCCGATAGCAACAGAAATCTGCAAGCAAGCGCTGGATTGGAATCCGGCAGGACATCGCAGCAGAGGCAGACCCAGGGGCTCATGGCGGCGGAGCCTCAACAAGGAAATAAAGCAAGTCGATAGGAATCTAACCTGGGCCCAGTTCAAGGCAAAAGCGAGCAGCCGCCCAGGATGGAAGTCTTTCACGTTGGCCCTTTGTACCTCCGGTGTTGTACAGGACCCTACAGTAATTAAGTAAAATGTAATAGTGGCTGGTGGTGTGGTGGTAAGCGTGATTACTTCTCACCTCAGCACCCCAAGTAAAAATACTTGGAGTTCTCCTTAGCATGATACACTGGAACCTCCATTTACGATCCCGAAAGAGGTACGTACCATCGGGATGACATATAGGAACCAGAAATCTATGTCTGACGCCATTTTGGAATCTAAGATGGTGGCATCCGGTTACAGAAAAACTGAGAAATACTTTGACTCTATGTTTTGCATTACTTCGGCGTGAAGTCAACGATTTACATAGTTGAAGATGCTAATTTCAAATAACAGACTAAAGTGGTAATTTTTATACGATACATGAGGAGATGAAAGTATTGAGTTGATAGTTCCGTTAGAGTACGGCAGTGCGAAAATTGTATATAGAGAGTAGGAAGCGAGCAAGGGCAACTTTGAGGAAGGTACAAATCGGGTTGATCATCTCTCTTTACCAAACTCCCAACTATCAGGTAAAAATCGATAGAACTGTTTCAAACACATCATCGGTACATGAGCGAGTCGGCGATCATCTCTTTTTGCCAGTGGTGACGGAGAGGAATACCCCTCACCAGCCCTCTCCAACGGGGGAGTTTGATAAAGAGACATGATAAAACCGATTTGTACCATCCTAAAAAGTTGTCCTTGCTCGCTTTCTACTCTCTATATACAATTTTCACACTGCCGTATTCTAACGGAACTATCAACTCTATACTTTCATCTCCTCATCTATCGTATAAAAATTACCACTATAGTCTGTTATTTGAAATAAGCATCTTCAACTATGAGAAATACTGTCAAATATGCCACGATATGGGAATTTTTAGAATCGGTGTGACGTATAAGGACTGTACACTCATGTATCACGCCATTTCAAAAATTTTATGGCCTGCCTTCACCTCCTCCCATGTCTCGCAGGAACGCAAACAATTTCCGATTGGTAAATGATGATTTCCCCAACCCCACAGAGCTTCGAACGAGCGCGCGCCTTCCACTTCCTGGCAGAGATCAAGAAGAAGTTCATCCAAACCTATGGCCTCACGGTGGCGACGGCGATCGCATTCGCCATGAACAGCGAGTTCTCCCGGACGCTGGACCAGGAAATGCAACACTACAGCGAACTGCGGGACGTGGACAAAATCAGCCAGGTGCGCGGCGAGATCGACGAGGTGAAGGACATCATGGTGAAGAACATCGAAAACATCACCAACCGGGGCGAGCGGTTGGAGCTGCTCGTCAACCAGACGGAGAATTTGCGAAACAATGTAAGTTACTATAAAAGCTGCCTTTACTCCAGTCGAGCACAATCAAAGTTGGATTTCCATTTTCTTTCCAGTCGGTAACATTCCGCCAGACGTCCCGCAATCTGGCCCGGACGATGTTCTGGCGCTCGGTTCGGATGTACTGCCTGATTGCGGCGATCCTGCTGTTTGTGATCTACATCGTGATCAGCATGTCCTGTGGAGGTCTTCTGTGGTCCAGCTGCATACACAGCGGCAGTAATACGGCCCCCGTTACGCCACCTCCAGCACCGTCACCGCCGGGATTAGAAGACGTTTAGGTCCCGGAGGGACTGTAATTCTACTTCGTTGATGCAATTGGAAAAGACTTGAATAAATTGTGGATGGTGGAAGGTGGACCCCTTTTTTAAGTAGGAAACTTTTGTCACCTAATTTGTCGTAATCAAATCAAAGGAGCAGACCTTCCTACTGCTACTTTTACACTTGGAACAGAAAGTATCTTAATCCCTCAACAGAACTCGATGCAGTTCCCGATCTTCTTTGTAGCCTTGTTTCATACGGTTATATTTAATCGCTAGCATAGAATGATACCCAATACTACGAATCGTTATCACTTATGGAATGCTTCAAACGTGTGTTTTTTAATTTAAGTAGAAAGAAATCCTCAGTTTACTAAACTAAAAACAAGCGGTAGTTAGCGCGATTATCATTTCGAGTGTTCTGCCAACCAATGGAAGATGCTGTTTTCTGAGAGAGGACATATGGCATGCTTAAAGTGAAAAGCGGATGAGGATGAAGCGAGCAGTTGCTGTGAAGAGGCCACTCGAGACGGGCCGTCAGTGTTTTCATTCTTTTGCTTTGGATGATGGGCAGTGGATCACAAATCTGATGATGAGCTGCTGACTGTCTGCAAGTGGGATAGTGGGGAGGATTCAAAATGTGATAACACTTGCGTGAGACAGAACCATCAGGACGAGTTTCATGCATTTGATTATGGTTGTGAAAATGCATATAAGAAGTGCGATGGCTGATTTTGCTTGGGAATTTTTCTTTAAGCTGCTGGAGGTGGTTACAGTTTTATTATGATTTACATTTGTACATTTGTTGGATATTTTTGTTCTAAAGTCTCAACATTCGAAATTCTATGTACCAGGCAGGTAAACTTCTAAATCATCTTCAAAACTTTGTTCTGAATCCTTTGAAGTGCTTTTTCCCTGGTCGTGCAACAACTAGACCATATTGGCACAGCGTAAAGCATGGCCGGTCTAAAAACTAGTTTAAATATTAGCAGTTTATTCGTCAGGCAAAGTTTGGATTCCATGTTTATAAGAGGATACAAAAATTTTATATATTTATAACATTTGGCTTGAATGCACTCAATGTGATCTTTAAAAGTTAATTTTTGGTCAAGTACTAACCCAAGATATTTCACTTGGTTTGGCCAGGAAGTTGGAACTCCGTTCATAGTGACTATGTGACTACTACTAGAACGTTAAGAATTTTAAGGAGGAAACCCCCGCCAATCAAATTGAATTGAGCGGTTACATATTCTGTGGGAACAAATTAGCGAAACAACCTGGGAAATTCAAGCGCATGGGAATTATGAGGAATAAGATGGTTTCCAAAAAGAGCAGTTGGAGATAGAAAACCTTAACTAAGATGCGAACTCGTTTCTGGTTCAGCAGGTTAAGGATTGCAGGAAGGGTCTTCGTCAAACCAAACAATGCGCACTGCAGACGCTACTCTACATGGCGTAATGGATCATGTTCGTCTGCCTCAAATCCAGCTGCAATGTTTCGTCTCTGATTCACGAAAAGCCAGATCTACCCGATGTAGAGAAACTTCATTACCTCAAAGGGTGCTTAGCAGGCGAAGCAAAGGCACTGATTGATCCGCTAGAGATTACGAAGAACAATTATCAAGTTGCTTGGGACACGTTGCTAAGACGTTACGACAACGATAAACTTTCGATTAAGAAGCAAGTGCAAGCGCTCATTAAACTGCCTTCACTTAGCAAGGAATCTATGACGGATCTCCATAAATTAGTAGATGGTTTCGACCGTGTGATCCAAACGTTAGATCAAATCATTGAACCAGTCGAATATAAGGATTTGTTGCTGGTAAAGCTGCTCAGTTCTCGTCTCTATCCTACCACACGGCGACGGTGTGAAGAACATTCCGGAATGCAGATTCTAGGGGCTTTACCAACGAAAGTAGAAGCGAATGCTGAACCAAAACGGAAGCCGTTTTCTGCAAAGGTCAACCACAATGCGGTACAAGCGAACAACGCTAAGTGCCCTTCTTGCGCGGAAATTCATGGACTGCATATGTTTCCAGCCTTTTCGAAGATGTCGCTGACCAGTAAGGTATCCCTCATACGTTCCAACGGTCTAGGGTTCATGTCCCTATTCGGGCGCCAGGAAGAAAAGGAAAATTTTGAGACTTGAAACAGAAGTTTCTACTACTGGTGCTATTTTCCGAGCCACTGTGTTTCTCCAACCCACGAACACGGAGTGGTCAACATTTTGGTGCCGTGACCAGGATTCGTGGTTGGAGAAGGCCATTGCGTTCCGCGGTGTATTGTTTGGAGGAAGAATAGGCCGGATAGAGGACATCTTTGTGGCAACGGATCTGCTGTTGTCAGGTTCATCAACGGCTGGAGAACTCACTCTCTCTCTCCAACGCCAACGACGGACGAATACAGCCATCGTACACGTACAGTGTCACGCGACAACCAGAGGGACTGCTGCAGTTGGAAATTTAATACAAGGCCCGCATCCCTCAGGCCACATGTGAGTGGCTTTCCAACTATCTCTCGCAATCTCGCTGGTGCTTTTGAGGTTTGTTTTGCTTCCATGTTCTCTGGATACAACTGCTGCTGGTGACGTCGCACGGCTCGGTATCAACACATTGTGCAAGTCGTACGCCTGGAAGGGTTCCTGAGGCACACCAATTGCATTGTAAGCTGTGTTCGTTCATCAACTGTAGCGGCTGTGGAAATCCAATTCGACAGTAGAAGAGCCGATTTGGAGTTTGGATTTAAAAATTCAAGGCCTATTGTTGACAGGCCTCAGGTGAGTGCCTGTCCAATTAATTTAAATCTTTTTGGTGGTGCTATATGGTACTATTTTGACCCTTTCTCGATACGCGTGATCGTTGGCTACGATTGGAGGATCTGCACACCTGAGACGAAAGGTTACCACGACGAGACGATTTGGTTTGGGCTTGGACGTACTTGGAGCAGAAGTGGATCGAGTTCAACTGCTGGACGGCGTGACGTCATAGTGGCGTACGGTTACGGAAGTATACTGGTACATCTGGGTGGTAAGAGGAAGAGACGCTTGAATCTACGGACAACCGAGGTTAGTGGTATCGAACCAAAACTATTTGCTGGGGAGCTGATTGCATTGGAGGCGATTTTTGAAAAATTACAAGGCCTGTTGTTGACAGGTACAAGGTTAGTACCTGTCCAACCAATCTATATCCTAAAGCCAGTGCTATTTTGGATTTTCTTTCCCTTTTTTGGATTTTTGCTGAGCCGTTGGAGTTTTCCACATTGGAAGATAATCTGCTGCAACGCAGTCTGCATTGCTGGTTGCACATTTCGGCCTTCTTGGATAAGCCTCAATTCGAAGTACGACGACGATTATTTCACGGTCTGCTACTGCACGAGTGTTAGCGTAAACTGAAATTATTCGAATACAAGGCCTAGTTGAGACAGGCCTCAGTTGGTAGTGGGAATGACTGAGAAGAAAATTAAGGAAAAGGTCAAAAGGCGTGAGCGGATCGTCGCTTCAGTAAAACGCCATGCTTCATTTCTGGGAAGTTTCAATCCAGATAGTCAAACGGGGGAAGTTCAGTCGAGGCTGCACAAAATTGAGGCAAAATTCGAGGAATTCGAGGAAGTTCAGGAGGAGATTGCTGAGATGGATGCGGAAGGAGCGTATGAAGAGGACTGCAACAAAGCCTTTGATGATTTTGAGAAGCTGTACTATCGTCTACGAGCAGCGTTGCTAGCGAAACTGCCACGAGAAGATCCAGCTGATTTAAACAACTCAACTGCAAGGAATGGCAAAGCTGTAGGGGCGCACACTGGGGTGCGTCTACCACAAATCTCGCTACCGGAGTTCGATGGCGACTTTAAAGGATGGCTGTCGTTTAAATCTACATACGTTTCGCTGATCCACGAGTCCGGAGAACTTAGCGACATCCAGAAGTTTCACTACCTCAAGTCGGCGCTCAAAGGGGAAGCGGCTAAGCTCATCGAGTCGCTTACACTCACCAACGAAAACTATCCCATTGCTTGGGATACGATCACGAAGCGGTACTCCAATGAGTATCTTCTTAAGAAGAGGCATATGCAGGCGCTTATGGAGTACCCAAGGGTAGAAAAGGAGTCGTCATCTGCTATTCATGCTCTGGTTGATGAATTTGATCAGCGTTTGAAGATCCTGAAACAGTTAGGAGAGAAGACTGAACATTGGGGTGCAATGATCGTGCACTGGACGTGTTCGAAACTGGATACGAAGACGCTTCAGCTATGGGAGGACCACGCAGCATCAACAAACGATCCGACTTATACAATGTTGGTGAACTTTCTGGAGAAGCGGACAAGGGTGTTGGAGGCCGTATCATCAAACGTCGAGATGAAGGGCAGTTCGCAGAAGGTGGAAGTTAGGCGTCAAAAGGTGGTCGTTCATTCCGCAACCGATAGTGATAGGAGTAGTTCAGCATGCTGCTGTTGCGGTGATTCACATTTTTTGGGCCGGTGTGGGAAGTTTACGAAGATGACCTTGAAGGAGAAATTTCAGTTCGTCAACGGCAAAAGGTTGTGCAGCAATTGCCTAAAGTCAGGGCATTGGGTACTTGACTGCAATTCAAAATTCAGCTGTCGAGACTGCGGGAAAAAGCATAATTCGCTGATCCATCCAGGATTTCCTCTGAGCAGTAGCGGTGCCGGACACAGCGATCAAGCGGGATGCAAATCGGAGCTCAAGCGGAACGATAAGGCGGTAGCAACGAACCTAGCGAACAACGAGGATGAATCTGAAGAAGAAGGAGACAGCGACGATCAAGAAGCGGTTGGAACATACAGCGTAGGGACTAAGGGCGGTAGAGTCTCGAGCGTAATGCTGTCTACAGTTGTACTTGTCATACGGGACCAGCACGGAGGAAAACAGTTGGCACGAGCATTGCTCGACAACGGATCGCAAGCGAACATCATGAGCGAGCGGCTATGTCAGATGCTCAGCCTAAACCGGCGCAAAATAAACTTACCGATTAGCGGGATCGGTCATTCGGAAACGCGAGCGAGATTCCAGGTGAAAACCACAGTTAGCTCCAGAGTTCAAGACTTCTCCGTGGGGATGGAATTTCTAGTTCTGCAGAAGGTTACGTCGGAATTGCCATCGGCACGCATACCTGTGGCGTACTGGAAGTTTCCTAATGATATTCAGCTGGCTGATCCGAACTTCAATATAAGCAATCGGATCGATCTCTTGATAGGAGCAGAGCACTTCTATCGTTTCCTGTTCGAGAGAGATATGAAACAGATCAAGTTGGGACCAGGGCTGCCAATGCTGGTCAACTCAGTATTCGGTTGGATCGTCACGGGGAAGGTTTCGGAAGCTC